GTGGATGACAGTTCCATCAGTACCACCTGGAGAAAGGTTAGGAGATAGCTCTGCAAAGAATTTTTAAAAAAGAAAGAGAAAAAAAGAGGCAGGTGCTCAGAAAAAGGGCTGCTAGATAATATACAGTAGATGTCTGTTTGATCATCTTTTACTGCCACTTTAAAATGATTATATAAGTTGCAGAATAAAAGTGTTCATTTATTTGGATGGAGTCATTATTCACTGAATAAAGATGTTAGGTCAGTCTCCCGCTCCTCCTCTGCTTGATTTTCAAACAACCTTATGAAATACATTGACATTCATGTTTATTCTTGTACAGCAGAAGGAATCTTTCAGGAAATTGGAAAGTTTAATTATTGCATTGCTAGAATATTTTATTATTGAGAGAAGTGCTATATTTTCATTATAGAACTGTGTAGTAGGTTCGATTATATGTGTATATCATGTCAAAGATTAGCATACCTGTAACAGATCATGTGAGAATTAAAAATAGAATTAAAAATACTTTTTATGCTACTTTTAAAGTAATTTGACACAGTTAAGAGTGGAAACCATACCTTTACCAAGAGAAATACTTTTGTACTGAGATGTTAATGTAATGAGAAATAGTTTTAATATTTCAAGTCGAAAAGAAAAATCAGTCATAAGTAGAAGGTACCCACGAACATCTTAACTATTTTTACATTAGTAAGGGTCCAGAAAGTAAAATGTCTAAGGCCCTTAATTTGTTGATTCTTTTAAAATGTTGTTATATTTTTTAAAATCCAAGCTTACAGTTGGATATATAAGAGGTTTAATTATTTTACATTTCAAATGTCACACTTTAAAAAAAGGACTTTTTTTTTTTTGAGGGTGAAGCCCTGGACTTCGTGTAAATCAGTTTTGCTTAGGAATACTTTTTGAAAAAAAAAAAAGAGTAAGACATACCTATATTGTAGAAGACAAATCAATTAGGAATTTTAAGAGAATACTAACTGCTAGTTTCACCTTTATGCAAAGGAATAAAGATTATAGGAATATATTTGTAGGTACAAGGGCACATATTCTTATACCGATAATACAGTTGTTCCTTGAACAATGAGGGCTTAGTCTGCATGTAACTAATAGCTGCCTGTCCTTATCCATGGTTCCTCCACATCCTTGGATTCAACCAACCACAGACTGTGTAGTACTGTAATATTTACGGTTTACTGAAAAATATCCAAGTATAAGTGGACCCTGCATTGTTCAAGGGTCAACTGTAATAAGAGCTTTGATGCAAGATTTATACCTAACTTTATTACACAAAGGCTTTGTGGATAAGAATATATTAATTTGATCAGTGATATTCTGGTTGCTTCTCAAAGTGGCATCATAAAAATAAATGGGGCTTCCCTGGTGGCACAGTGGTTGAGAGTCCACCTGCCGATGCAGGGGACACGGGTTCATGCCCTGGTCCGGGAAGATCCCACATGCTGCGGAGCGGCTAGGCCCGTGAGCCATGGCTACTGAGCCTGCGTGTCTGGAGCCTGTGCTCCGCGACGGGAAAGGCCACAACGGTGAGAGGCCCAAGCAACGCAAAAAATAAATAAATAATAAATAAATGATAATGCAGTTTTGCTGCATTACACAGCCTGGGGCAGAGAGATGTGTTTGTGGTATGTGTGTTCCCATGCACATGTGTTTTAATCGGTTTTCAGTAGGTTGTAGGTTTACACTTTTCCATGTTTCCACCATTTATTAAAATACTCCATATTTGACCAGTAGAATGATAGAAAACATTTCAGTTCTACAAAAATACTCTTATTTTTATACAGGGAGTTTAAAGTTTTCTAAACAAACCAGTAAAGCAAAATTTTAACACCTTGCCACAAGTATATTGAAGATGTAGCACTCTCTGTTCTGCTTTAAAATAAGCTTAGAATTATGTAGTTGTTTGGGTTATGCACTTTTAAGCAAGTCAATTAATATTTTTGTGTCTGAAAAATGAGAATTATTACAACTTTATATCTGAAAGTGCTTTTGAAAATCTCCATAGCTGATCTAAAATTGTGAAATAGGGACTTCCCTGGTGGTCCAGTGGTTAAGACTCCGTGCTGTCGATGCAGGGGGCCTGGGTTCAATCCCTGGTCAGGGAACTACATCCCACATGCTGCAGCTAAGACCCAGAGCAGCCAAATAAATAAATATTAAAGAATAAATAAATAAAATTGTGAAGATAGTATGTGCTAGCATTGTCAGTGTGCCGAATGGCTAAAAGAAGGTTAAGCTGTCCTGGTGTTCTAGGAAATACTTTATCTACCAAGCTGAAGTTTGTGCTTCAGCGTTCATTTGTCCCAGAATTTATGACCTTTCTATCTTCTAAACATGTTTTAGACTTTTGGAAGAATTTATGTAGTTCTCCTCTAAGGAAGTTTAGAGAACAAAATGTTGGGGGTTCTCTTACTTTATCAGGCTGGATGGAGTTAATGTCAGTTAGCCTGACAGTCATTTTACATTGTGGTATTGTGATATCAGTTATAAATAGCTTTCTATTCACTCTTGTTTTGGTTTTTCTCTGCCCTACTTCTCTGTAACTTAGTACAGTTCTTTTAAAGTCTAACACCAAGAATGGATAGGGAGATTGTGGCACCTCCACACAAAGGAATACCACTTTGCAGTCAAAAGGAATGGACCAATACGTGCACCACCATGAGTTCATCCCCATGACACTGTATGATTCCATTTATATGAAACTCCAAAGTAGACAATAGCAGCAGAAAAGAAGACCAGTGATTGCCAGGGACCTGAAGTGTGAGGGGGGGATTAATTGCAAGGGCCATGAAGGAACTTTTTAAAGTGATGGAAATTTTCTGTCTTGATTGTGGTGTTGGTTATATGCGTGAATAAGTTTGTCAAACTCATTGAGCCCCGTGCACTTAAAATGAGTACATTTTATCACACGGAAATTACATTTGAATGAAGTTGTTTAAGAGAGAGTTAAACACCAAAGTCTAAAATAGGACATGAGTAGTGAAGGTGTCAAAAAGTATACTGTCACCACAGATTAGCAATAAAGCAGTAGCCCACAATACGTTGTTGAATATTATTTTGAATGTCACTAAATAGATGTGAAAATTTGTACTACTGTCTCTATTACTGTATCATGGTATTTATAGATACTTTAGTATTACATGAACTAAGTAATATTAGTGACAATAATAACAAAGGTTTTTAAAGTGCCTTATAAGTGAAAGTACCTTATGTTTTTTGCAGTTTTAATGTAATGTGCACTGATGGCTTTTTCCCTCTAAATTGTACATTTTTTAGTCCAGCTTAGTCACATTATTCAGATAGATAAGTGTAATTTAATATTTTCTGAAATGTTATAAAATTTCTAAATTTTTTAAATATTAAAAAATAGTGACATTATTAGCTGAATATATTAAGCTAGCTCCATAATCCATCTATATACCATGTCCATTTTTCAGGTGTCTGGGGTGTGTATCCAGCTAGGCAAAGATAAAATAGTATATAGGATGTCAGATATAGCTTTGTGATCACATCAAATAATTCTGGTGACAGCTATATAGAAAATCAACCTTAAAATAAAACTGAAATTTAAGAAACGCTTAGGCCAGTCTTCTTTTGTCACTTTAAATTTCACTCTTTGATCCTTTTATGCTGGTTTGAAGAGTCTAGATAATCTTTCACAAAAGTTATTTGGGGTGGGAGGTGGGGGTAGAAGAGCCCAAAAGGTCTGGTTTAGATTTCTAAATGGTAATGCCTGTCTGAACATAGATTTTTGTCCTTATAATTTCTGCTTTGTGTTTAAAGAGTTTTTAATAGCTTGCTTTTCACCTAGCAACTTTCATCATGTATAGTTTAAGTGCAAGTTGGATGAACTGAAGTTTTTAAATGAAGAGTCTAAAAGGTCAAGAAGATGTCTAGAATCCTTTTTACCACCTCTTTCCCAGAACCTTTAGTGGTGTTTTTAACAAAATCAAGAGTAAGGAATTTCTTATCTTTACACTTTTTAAAGCAGTGAAGTGGAAAAAAATTAAAATTTGAGAAGAAACAAATGATCTGGAGAACTGTTATTGTACAGTTGGTCTCTGAGAAAGTTAACATCTATTTAAGATGATGCCAAAAGTTCCAGTGGAAGTATGCTCTGTTGACTTTGGAGACCTCTCACTGCTGGGGGTCTTTGTTTAGATAGAGCACACCACCCAGTATGTTGTCATGTCATGTCCAGTGTAGAGTAACAGTGTTGTTTGGGCGGGGTGGGGGGGGCAGTAGACGATGCTCTGATGGCTTCCGCATTGTTCGTAAAATAGCAATAAACTTTTCTCAGTTGCTGTACCTTTTCAGAATCCGTTATCCCTATAAAGGTATTAGTTAGATTCCAGAATAACATGTAAAGTGTGCTTGATTGACTTTCTCCCCCTAATTATACAGTATTCTGTAAATTGGACATCCGAATAACCTTCAGTTCAAATGTATATTTCTTGCCATTGAGTTGGTGAAAGGAAACATTTTGTTCTCTCATGGCCTTATTGATGAGCCTCATATAAACTAGGTGAAATGGGACAGTGCAAAGAGAATGCAGTAAAGTGCTGAATGAAATACAGTATAGTATATACCAAAAAAGATCTCTTGGCTTTAGTTAGTGGAGAAGACTAGTGGAAGAGTAGAGTTGTGATAGGAACTTTTCAAGAGGATGGTTTGCGAGGAGAGGGACTGTCATTCATGGTGTTGGTTAGCTTGCATCAAGGTTAGGCCAGAGTGAGAAGATTTCTCCTGAACAGGAAT